ACTATATTGGGTGAAAGAGAAGTACTAAAGAAGGATAGGGGGGCAGCTAGGTGGCACAGTGGATAGAGCACCAACCCTAGAGTCAGAAGGACCTGAGTTCAAATCCTCAGACACTTGACACTAGCTATGTGACCCTGAGCAAGTCACTTAACCCCAGTTACCTCACAAAGAAAAAAAAAAGAAGAAAGAAGAAAGAAAGAAGGATAGGAATACTTTTCAGAGTGGACAGGATAATGATAACTGACGCCACTTGACTCTTCTGTAGTTTTGTTTTCTCTGATAAGGAGAATGATCTTTGAACTGGAAATGATAGAACAAATTGGTTTAACAAGATGATACCCACTCTCTCTTACCATAGAGATAGAGTAGGAGAGCACTTAGCTGTCATTGATGAGTTCAAGTGACCAAAGCCAGATGGACTGTGTTCCTGAGTCCTGAAAGAGCTGGCAGATATGACTGGTGAGCCAGCCACTCTTGATGACCTTTGAAATAATTGTGGAGAATGGGAAAGATATAAGGGATTGGAGGAGGACAAATAAATGTCTTGGTTTCAAAGAAAGGAAGAGAATAGAGCTAGAGGTCAGCAAACTAGAGGTCAGCAAACTAGACTTAGATCCCTGGCAACTGTCTAGAACATCTCATTAAAGGAAGAGGAAATGGTGATCTCAAAGCACAAAGTGAACCACTCAGACAAAGAAATAGCCACCCAACAATGTAACATAATAGCTTGCAGAGAGTGTTCATGCTTAACTACTCTCTGGGTTAGCTTACTCACTCCAACCTACCCTCACACCAGCAGGTCTAGGTTCCCAGAGAAAGATCACCACTATATGCTTACACTCAAACTCTCTTAGAGCACTAGGAAATAATACTAATAATACTAATAAAAGGAACTGTACTCATGGCTCTAGCCCTTGAGTTCCCACCAATACATTCTGCATCCCCAGATTAAGAATAAGTTATACCAGACTAACTTCATTTTCTTTTTTGATTGGGTTACTAGATCAATACATCATGAGGAAATGGTATACATATAGTCTGCTTGGATTTTAGAAAAGCATTTAACAAAGTCTCTCATGCTGTTTTTGTAGAAAACATATATGTGGGTTAGACTATAGTACAATTCAGTAGATTCAGAACTGGATAAATGGTCAGATCCAAAGAGTCGCCATTAATGGTTCAATGTTAACTTGGGAGGAAGTCTCCAATGGAATGCTTCAGTTTCTGCGATAGGAAAGAAGGAGGCATCTCCTATGTGCCAGGTATTGTGCTAAATGCTATCCAAAATTACCTCAGTTGATTCGCATAACAACTATGAGAGGTAGGTGCTATTATGATGATCCACATTTTAGAGTAGAGGATACTGAGGCAGACAGAGCATAAGTGACTTGCCCAGGGTCACACAGCTAGTAAATGCCTGAGGCTAGACCTGAAATCAGATCTTTCTGACTCCCAAGTCCAGTAATTTATCTACTTCACCACCTAGCTGGTTTTGTGCTGTTTCATATTTTTATTAATGACTTTGGTAAGGGCATAGGTGGTATGCTTATCAAATTTGCAGATGAAACAAAACAGGGAGCGATATGTTATACACTGGATGATAGGATTAAAAAAATAGCAGACTAGAATATTGGGTTGCATTAATAATATGTCATTTAATAGGAAGAAATGTATAATTTGACATTTGGTTCAAATAATCAACTTCACAAAAAAAATTGGGGAGGTGTCACTAGACAGCAGGTTGATAAGATCTGGGGTCTTTAGTTGGCTGCAAACTTAATATTAGTCAAGAGTGTGATGTAATAGCCAAAGAAGCTAATGTAATCTTAGGCTGAATTAAGAGGGGACTAATTCTGGACTAGAGAGGTGACAGTCCCACTTGACATTGCCCTGGTTAGACTTCATCTGAAACATGGTATTCAGTTCTGGGTACCATGTTTTAGGCAGCTAGGTAATGCTGTAGTGGATAGAGTACCAAGCCTGGAGTCAGGAAGACTCATTTTCCTGAGTTCAAATCTGGTCTCAGACATTTACTAGCTCTGTGACCCTGGGCAAGTCACTTAACCTTGTTTGCCTCAGTTTCTTCCGTAAAATAAGCTGGAGAAAGAAATGGCAAACCACTCCAGTATCTCTGCCAAGAAAACCCCAAATACGGTCACAAAAAACAAGTGAACACCACCACCACCACCACCACCACCATGTTTTAAGAAGCACATTGATGACCTGGTGGGCATCCAGAAGAGAAGAATCAGGAAGGTGACTGGAGATCACCTCATAGAGAAAAAGAAATGGGATAGACTTAGGGAGACTATGACAGCTCTCTTCAATTATGTTAAAGGCTAACATAGAAAATGATCCACTTTGGTAAACTGTAATTGCTCCAAAGGAGAGCCCCCCAAAGAGCTTGAAGGCCTCTGTGGTACTATTGATAGCTCCTAACCCCTCACCCATAAGAAGAGGCAAAGTGGGAGGGACATAGCTGGTGGTTGGATGAGGTAGGCAGAGGAAATTGAGCCTAGGGCAAAAGCAACTGGTTATTGGCCTGGGACTGGTTCAGGATATGGGGGTAGTCAAACTGTGGTAGGGAACCAGTGGAGGGCTGTCAGACTGTGAGGAGTGAGAGTTTGCTGTGGGGAATAACCGTGCTCCCCCTTATCATATTAGTACCCTGGTTGTCCTTCATTTCCCTGTTCTAGTTATGATTGTGCCTGTCAGACTGGCCCCAGAGAGAAGAACTAGGAAAAATGAGTAGAAATTGTATATTTAGGCTCCATTAAGGAAAAACCCAACAAACAGAACTAACCAAAAGCTTAAAAGGCCACAGGATCATAAGGTCATAGATTTAGAAGTAGAAGAGAGCTTAGAGGTCATTGATTCTAATCCTCTTGAGGCCCAGAGGTTAGATATAACTTGCTCAGGGTCACTCAGCCATTAAGTATCCAAGGGCAGTTTCTCCTTCATTTGAAGTCTTTAGTCACAGGCTGGATGACTCTTTGTTGAGTATAGTATAGAGGGAGTTCTTGTTCAGGTATGATTTGTACTAGAGGACTTTTAAGGTCTTTTCCATCTCTGAGATTCTGTGATTCTTCTCTTGGGAGGGACTCTTTCCTGCATACTAGAAGCTTCAGAGATGAGGTCTTTGTCCAAGGTAACGGAAAGAAAGGGACAGAGGCTGGTTCCCTGAGCAATGATGGCAAACAGGGGGCAGGAGACACAGCTGCTGAATTCCCAATTGCAGCACTAAAGAGAAGCATTTCAGTTAGAATAGCAGGAACATCAGACCAAATACTCTTCTTTTTTTTTTTTTCTCCTTGACATGGAGTAGAAAATGACTCGCTGAAGGACCGTTGTTCTCTTCCAGAGTCTCTTCCAGAAATAGCAAGCTCCCTGTTCCTAATTTCCTATGAGCTAAGTCTTGGAACAGACTTCCCTGGCAGGCTTGGCTCAAAAGGATCTTTCCACACACATGCACACATGTACACAGGTTGACACATTCATATGCATTAACTCACCCTCTCTCTCTCTTTCTCCTCCCTCTCTTTTTTCTTTTTCTTTCTCTCTTTTATCTATATCTATTGATATATCCAGATCTATCTCTTCCCCCTCCCTTCTTCCTTTTCTTGCTCTCTACCTCCTTCCCTTCCTCCCTCCCCTCCCTCTTTCCTTCCTTCCATCCTTCCTTCCTTCCTCTGTCTCTCTCCCCCCTCCTCTCTCTGCCCCCCCACCCTCTTTCCTTCTGTCTCCCCCTTTTCCTCAACACTCCCCTGCCTCACTGATGGGTGCAAGTCAACAAGCTCAATGATGCTGCACAGAAGCCACTCAGGTTATACTGACAGCCACCTGAAATCCATCATTTTAATTCTGGGCATTTCCACCTTTTGTAATAAGTTGAGGTGCCTTAGTGCTGATTTATGGTCCATTTTTTATTACAGTTGTTGCCCACAATTATTCTAAGCTCTCTTTGCTTGACTTGGAGTTTTCTTTTGAATCAGTCTCCCTTCCTTCAGAGTAGTTCACTTTTGCCTATGTTATACCAGAGGTAGATGTCTGCTGTAGAACAGTGATTCAATTTTCCCATTTCATGGCCCACCCAGGCGCTTGTACTAGGATCCTCAAGCTTCACAAAAAGTCCTTTCATGAAGGACTCTACTCCTCCCTCCACACCAGACTCAGCTTACAGGTAAGGGTCTGTCTTGGCACAGAAAGAGATCTTCACAGTGAGAATGACAGGGATAAAAGGCTGGAAAAGCAAAAGGAAGGCTATCTCATCCTAGCTGCATCAGCAAATTCTGTTTGTTTTGAGTACCATCAAATGACTGCCAGAAATGATGAAACTCTAGTCCTTGGGTCTTTTTTGGAGCTCTCCCATAGCATTCCCCAGCAGTTTGGAAAACTGCCAGTGGAAGGGAAGGTCAGAGGATCTAGAGATGGATATAGTAGCTCAGAGGTCATCTAGTCTAACCCACTCCCTTTTATAGAAATGGAAACTGAGGCCCAGGGAAGTTAAGTGACTTGGCTAAGGGCAACCAGGTGATAAGGGAGATGACTAAGTTACTCAGTAAAGACTTGACCAATGCTATCATTCTGTTAAGGAATACCTATTCCAGGAGATTAAATGGTATCCATTAGCGAGATCCACCCCCTGGGTCCCACTCCTCCCCCATCCCCAGGTATTCATTTAAGGTCACAGAGAAAGCTATGGTATTGGCTGGGCTGGGAGATACAAAAGACAGAGTTGAATCAATCCACAGAGGATGAAAATGAACTTATATTACAGCAAGTGAGATTTAGGTTAAATATCAGGAAAATTTTCGGACTTGAAGGACTATGAAACATAAAAAGGAGGCCAAGTGGAGGCTTTGTCTTTTCTCTTTCAAGCAAAGTTGAGGAGAACCTCGATGTGATGATCTGAAGGTAGTTCTCTTGGGTTTGTAGAGAGGCAGATGACTTTGAGGTATCCTTCTCTACCCTTGCCAAAGAGTCTTTCCAATTCTACTCACATGCCACCTGGACTTCTGTTTGCCTTTGCAGCAGGGCACCCATCCGGTTGCGTACAATGCAGCGGTAGAACCCAGCATGAGTACGGTCCAGGCTGGTGATCATGTACCTTCAGGAGAAAAGACAAGGATAGAGTCAGATGGTTTCAGTGATACTGTCAGATGAGCGGAAGTCCACTGATGAGGACCCCGGATGGTGAGACATCAACACAATAAACACAACCTCTACCATGTGCCTACTATATGCAAAGCACTTAAATGCTATCAGGAGGGCACTTTGCTCTTCTCTGTCTATTGTATGGGGTCTGGTTCTTCTTGGTTAGGGGTCTTGGGCTGGGAGAGAAGAGACTCACCTATTATTGGGGTGGGATGCTCCCAAAGAGATAGCTGGGTGGCATATTGAACTTTGAGTCAGGAAGATCTGAGTTCAAATCCATATTCAGATACTTACTAGCTGTGTGATCTGGGCAAGTCATGTCTGCCTCAGTTTCTTCATAATAATATTTTGTTCAGTAGTTTTTCAGTTATGTCTGACTCTTTGTGACCCCATTTGGGGGTTTCTTGGCAGAGATATTGGAGTGGTTTGCCATTTCCTTCTCCAGCTCATTTTATAGATGAAGAACTGAAGCAAACGAAGTCAAGTGACTTGCCTAGGGTCACACAGCCTTATCTGAGGATAGATTTGAACTCAGGAAGATGAGTCCACTGTACTCTATCCACTATACCATCTAGCTACCTCCATAATAATGTATCATAATATATGATATATGCATATACTAAATATATATGCACCTATATTATGATCTATGTATAGATTATAATAGACTTACAGGATTGTGGTGAGGGTCAGATGAGATAAGATCTACAAATTGCTTAAAACAATGCCTAGCACATAGTAGGTATTTATTACATGTTCATCCTCCCCTTCCTTCCTTCCCTAAAAGACAATTAAGAATGTATCTAGTAGCTTATGGAATGATGTATACTTATATGCAAGGGGAGTTGTAACACTTTGGCCTCAGGCCCTGGAAGCCCTGCCCAGTAGTCTGACATCCTAGGCATCTGTCTGTTATATTGGGCGGATGTTGTCCCACCTTGCCCATCATTTATCCAGCAAAGCAATGAGTGGATGTCTTTCAGCCGTCAGACAGAGAAGTGCTCAGTAAATATTAATTGATGATGTTAGGTGACAAGAGAAAAAGTATTTGAATATTTCTCAAAATGCTTTACATCCTTAGAACTTGGGTAAATCTGTGGTGGATTTGTGTAAAAGCAGAGAGAATCTTTTCAATAATATTTGCTGGCTTTCTCCCTTGTGACTAACTTCAGATCAGGAAAGATCCCTTAGGAGACAGCCCCTGAGAAAGTTTATGTCACCAAAGGTGTAGCAGAGATTCCCTTAAGACCAACAGTGGAAGAATTAACATGAAATAGGCTGTCTCTGCTAAGGAGGGCTATTAACTATCATCCCAAGTAGGGCAGGATAAACCCTAACAGAGTCCAAATCCATCATTTTACAGATGAGGAAACTGAGGCTTAGAGAGGGAGAGGGACTTGGTCAAGGTCACACAGTGGATTATAATTTGGACTTGAATCAAGTCTCTTGACTCTTAGCCCTTTCACTGCTTCTCCCTAAGTGGAGATCTACTCAGCCAGGCCTGTTTCTTAGGCTTTCTGTGAGTGAATGCTAAGGGTGCTCTTGTCCAGGCAGGAGAATACAGAATTATTTGGCAGCCAGAGCACCTTATCGCTGCCTTCTGTTCCAGCCCTTATCTCTCCTCAGCTCCCATGCACAGTAGATGATCAGAAGATAGGCAGGTTGCCTGGGCTTATTCAAAATTTCCTCTTTTCTCCTTTGACCAGGCAGCTCTATCCCTGAGGCCTTTCATGGGGGCTTGATGCTGTCCCTCCCCCAGCAGCTTTCACTAGGAATGAACTTGCCAAGAGATGTATAGTTTCTTGGAGATGAGGTGCCATGGTGACTGTGTTTGGGAAACGGCTTGGTGCTGCTAACGGGATGTGGAGAGAGGGTGTGGGTGGAAATACTCTAATACTTGAAACCGAATCAAGTTCGAAAAAGTGCCAGGAACTTAGAGGTTCTGTATTGATGCTGTTGATATATGACTCTAATGAAATTTTAATAGAAGCATATTTGCTTGGAAGAATCAACCTCTATATTGCCGATAAGATGAAAAACTCCAGGCCCCTTACCAGGAGCCAGAAACAATGGTAATACCTGTTTTCGTGACTTTGCTTCCTTAACTTTCTTTACTCATCCCAGACTGGAAACTGGTGGTGTGGGGAAATGACACTGACCTCCCCAGCTCCAGTACGGAGAGGTTAAGAGTATAATTGGCCTTCTTAGGGCCATCCTCTCTTCTCTTCCACTTAGCATCGTAGATTTAGAGCTGGAAGCTACTTCTGACACAATCTAGTCCAAAGCCCTCATTTCAGAGATGGGAAAACTTGGGCCTAGAAAGTTTAAGTAGATTTGCCTAAGGTCACCCAGATATTAAGTGGCAGAGCTAGGGTATGAATCTCTGACTCCAAATCCAGCCCTCTTGCTAGTGGGTCACACCTTCTTCCAACCATCCTCCTCTCAGGCTTGCACCTCTAGTCTTTCTTCACTCTGAGCCCATTTCTCTTTCCTACATGTTCTCTCTGCCTCTGAGGTCTATTTCTGGCCTGGTAGACAAGATTATTTAAAGTAACAGCTACCACCCACTACCTTCCTCACTAAAGCAAATTCTCTGGATTCAACCCAAAGTGCAACCCTCCCCTCCCCCAGCTTCCAGAGGGTGGGGAAGAAACATTTGGCCAACATGGCAGTTTGCAAATATAAATTACCATATTCATGCCAAGTAATAAAAATAATAATCCTGATTATACTCAGAAGCTCCCTGCTGGGTCAAAGGGGACACATTTAGCACACAACCTTGCTAAAGCTGACTCAGGAAGGGAATTTCACTTCTGGCAAAGAGCACCAGGGCTATGGGAAGAATCCATCCTAGCTAGGTGGTACAGTGGATGGAGTACCAGGCCTGGGATCAAGAGACCTGAGTTCAAATATGGTCTTAGACATTTAGGGAGCTGTGAGACTTTGGGCAAGTCATTTAACCTGTTTGCCTCAGTTTCCTCCTTTGTAAAATGGGGAGAATAATAGTATCTACCTCCCAGTGTTTTTGTGAGGATCAGATGAGATGATAATCATAAAAACCTTAACACAGTGTCTGGCATATTCAGGCAGTTGTTTTTCAGTCATGTCCAACTCTGCATGACCCCATTTGGGGTTTTCTTGGCAAAGATACTGGAGTAGTTTGTCATTTACTTCTCCAGCTCACTTTACAGATGGAGAAGTTGAGGCAAACAGGGTTAAGTGACTTGCCCAGGGTCACACAGCTAGTAAGTATCTTTTTTTTTTTTTACACATTATAGCTTAGCTTTTGCCTCTTCACTGCAGATATACAGACATCTTTGCCCAACAAGTCTTTCAGTCCATTCTTTTGCCTCCAAGAAGAAGTGAATTGCTTCTCTCTGGACTTCAATGGAGATGCTACATGTCTTGGTTATGGAACAGCTTCTATGTTGATCTTCTTATCGATAGGGAATTCTTACGACTAACCTGAATCTCTCACCCACCAATTTGAGTTAATTTCCCTTATCCTGCCCTATATGAGAATGGAATAATGGGACCTCTCTTAGTTACCATGTTCAACAACCTTTCTTTGCCCCCATCTGCCTTGAGCCTCCATTCATAGCCATCTCATACTTGAAATTCTGTCCTCTCTTGGCTTTTTTGAAGCTGAGCTCTCCTGGTTCACCTCCTACTTCTGTGTACTCCTTCCGTCTCCTCTGTCTCTCCTTCTTTAATGTCCCCTCCATCCCCATGGAGGTGTCTCTAAGGCTTCTGACCTTAGCCCTCTTATCAACTCTCTTTGGGTAGCAACTTCCAAGTCTAGCTTCAACTTTTCTCTTAAGCTCCAATTCCACATCTCAAAATATATCCCAGATTCTCCCACCTGGTTGTCCAAACCATTATTCTCCCAGTTACTCAGGCTCAAAATCTTGCTTCTCCCAAACTCCACAATTGTCAGTGCTTGTATTTCCCTAACAGTAATGACTTTGTATAGATTTGGGTATTTTGTGTGCATACCAGAAGCACTCAAGCTCCTTGAGCTCCACTGCCACCTCAAACATAACAGAAGATAAAAAAAATAGTGAATTGGAGTTGTCTTCAATCTCTCCCTGTCTTTCACTGTGCATGTTAATTCAGTGGCCATTGATTCTACTTCTGTAGAGTCTCTCTCTTCTATTTCTTCCTTTCCATCCCATCAGGTCCCTATTTCTTCCTTCCTGGACCCTCATAATAGCCTCTTAACTGGTTGCTCTGACTCCAGTCTCTGCTTTTTTCAGTCTGTTGTACGTTTTCCTGCCAGAAACAGCTTAAACACTGACTTCATCATGTCGTTCCTCTGCTGCAAAACCTCTAGTAGCTCCCTAGTGCCCAAAGGGCAAAATCCAAACCTCGTCTAGAATTTAAGACTCCTACAATATGGGCTCTAACCGATGTGCCAAGCTGTATTTCTCACTGTTTCTTTCATGGACACTCCAGTCGTGACTTTTATTTATTCATAAAAATGTTAGAAAGTTATGTTAGCAGTTATATAGTCTAGTCCCCTCATTTTACGAGGGAGACAGCACAGCCTGATTGGATTATTCACTGCAAGCTGAACAAGGGCCCCACTTTGCCAGCTCGGCTCCTTTGCTTTCGCTGTTCCCTTTGCCTAGGATGCTATTCCCCTGCATTTTGCCTGCCTAAATCCTAAATCAGAGAGGCAAGACATAACAGATAGAGAACCAGATGTGGATTCAAGAAGATCCAATCGGATATTATGCTTACCTCTTCTGAACCCCTAGCATGAATATCTTTGTTTTGACACTTTTCAGTTCTGACTCTTTGTGACCCCTTTGGGGCTTTCTTGGCAAAGATCCTGGAATGGTTTGTCATTTCTTTTTTAGCCAATTTTCCAGATGGGGAAATTGAGGCAAACAGAGTGAAGTGACTTGCCCAGGGTCATATAGCTAGTAAGTGTCTGAGGCCAGATTTGAA